GTTATAGGTTATGGTACCACGATAATAAATATCAATAATTAGGTATTACCACTTTATATTAAACAGGACTTCACTGTTCAATGACTCACTTGCCAACAACCATATCAGGCTGAATACACCTGTTCTTGTATCACCGAATCACCTGAATGTAACCGATCACCGAAGTTAAGCAGCGTTGAGTGTGATTGATCTTGCCTCGCATGCGGCGGCTGGGCAAAAGAGAGCGATAGGTGCAGTGACCCTAGTTTTATACCAAATTAGGCACCATCTTGACTTCGATATATAAATTATCGAATTATCACCGCGATCGAGTGTCGTGCACCCCTGCCAAGTTGCCCACTCATATACTAGTCTGAGAAAAGTGCGCACATGACAGCGAGCCTTGATCGATATAATCGATAGTCGCAACCACATAATAAAGAAGTGAAATACCTGGGTATTAATCTAGATGGTTTATTATATTTCAATAAACATGTAGAAATTAAAATAAGTAGAGCCCAGAAAGTTTTTCTAATTCATAGAAGAATATTTTCTCAAAATACTTTAAGGTAAATGTTAAATGTATATGTTACATGTTACTTGTTAGACCAATATTCTTAGATATGATTGACCGATTTGGTTCAATATCAGTCCAAGTATTATGGGAAAATTTAGGGCCTTCGAATGAAAAGGTTTGAGAGCTTACACTGATTTAAGTTACAAAAAGTACGTCGGTAACTAAATACTATACGATACAGCCAATGACCTGAGGATCAATGATTTTATTACTAAACTAATTATAAATTATTAGGTAAATATAATGAATATTAAAAACAATAGTTCAATCAACAATTCTGTATATCCTCACAAAATATATATAATGAAAAACCAATACTCTCTGGACATATTCAACCGGAAACTTTCATGTATTTAGATAAAACAAATAGTCAGAGTCAAGAATAATTTTCTGATGCTATATCATATACAGAGTAACGTTAATAACAAAAAATAGAGTATGAATAAAACCTTTGTATTCATGTAGAAAAGCGTAGACTAGTATATAATATGAGTATTCCAAAGATTGATCTGAAAAATAACTACTATCTCGACACCAAAACATTGTTCGACAGATATATGAACGTGAAGTAATTTAGTCTGTGGTGAGATCAGAATCTTTTAGTTTATAAGATTGTAATTATGTAAATAGCGTTGAATCCTGATTTAGTTTTATATTAATCTTAAAAAACCTTATTCTGAGCTCCGAGAAAAAGTTTTGGTTTTTTAATGTGAAACATTTTCCCAAAACATACGTCTAACAACTAAGATATAATAAAAATATTTATGCCGTACGATTTAATTCATTAGTAATTATACTTATTAAAAACAAATATTATGTATACGATTAAGAGCGTCCGTGCGAACATTCAATCTCTGTAAACCTATTAATTTAAGCGTATAATAATAATAATTGTATTATTCATCACATCTATATATAATGCGAATCTTTTGTTACATTATTCGATGAATAAAGACTCATATAATAAAAACACTAATTCTTATCTCTTATTAAGCAGCATTAGGCGCTATTGTATTTGGATGGATGACCTCTTCGGAATCCTGCGTAGCGTTGGTATCTTTTTTGCCATTTTTACAATTATTTTTATCTTTTTATTTAAGCTTTTTATGGAATAAATGGTTCTTATATTTTACTGAATTGTTGTATGCCGTGTAAACAAAGCAAGTAATTCCAAACATGTTGAATCATAGATCACGTACTCAGTTAGGACTCGTGATAATTTTTCGCAAGAACTTTTCGTGTCAAAATGATTATCAAAATGAAAATACTGCCTCGTAATGGCTGCAAACGATTGTAGTACCATTATCAAAAACCGATAAAATCGATATCGCAGATTTATATTATACAGGACATGACCATTAAATGACTTTAACAACTCGCAAACGGTCATATCAGGCTGAATACACCGGTTCTCGTCCGATCACCGAAGTTAAGCAGCGTTGAGCGCGGTTAGTACTTGGATGGGTGACCGCTTGGGAACCCCGCGTGCTGTTGGTATCTTTTTGCCTTTTTTTATAATTATTTCAATATTTTAACCTAAGCTATTCTAGAAACAATCGCTATTATAGTATTTTAATAACCTGTTTCATGCCGTATAAAAAAATCAAGTAATTTCAAACATGTTGAATCATAGATGACGTACTCAGTTAGGATTCGTGATAATCTTTCGGGAGAACCTCGTTTGTCAAGATGATTCCGATGATATAAATACGGCCTTGTAATGACTGTCAACAATCATATATACATTGTCAAATTAATTATTAAATTCAATAAAAATGATATCATCGTATCATACTTTAGGCGCGACTTCACCGTTCAATGAGTTAAATCACTCGCCAACGGCCATATCAGGCTGAATACACCGGTTCTCGTCCGATCACCGAAGTTAAGCAGCGTTGAGCGCGGTTAGTACTTGGATGGGTGACCGCTTGGGAACCCCGCGTGCTGTTGGTATCTTTTTGCCTTTTTTATAATTATTTAAATATTAGAATCTGAGTTTTTTTTTTAATCAATGGCTCTTACAGTCTTTTAGTAACCTGTTTCATGCCGTATAAAAAATCAAGTAATTGCAAACATGTTGAATCACAGATGACGTACTCAGTTAGGATTAGTAATAATCTTTCGGGAAAACCTTGTTTGTCGAGCTGATTCCGATAATATAAATACGGCCTCGCAATGACTGCCACTAATCATATATACATAGTCAAATTCATTATCAAATTCAATAAAAACGATATTATCAATTCAAACTGTAGGCACTACTTCACCATTCAATGACTTTAACCATTCGCCAACGGCCATATCAGGCTGAATACACCGGTTCTCGTCCGATCACCGCAGTTAAGCAGCGTTGAGCGCGGTTAGTACTTGGATGGGTGACCGCTTGGGAACCCCGCGTGCTGTTGGTATCTTTTTTGCCTTTGTTTGTAATTATTTAAATATTTTTATATGAGCTTTTTTTTGAATCAATGGCTCTTACAGTCTTTTAGTAACATGTTTCATGCCGTATAAAAAAAGTAAGTAATTTCAAACATGTCGAATCAGAGATGACGTACTCAGTTAGGATTCGTAATAATCTTTCGGGAGAACCTTGTTTGTCGAGCTGATTCCGATAATATAAATACGGCCTCGCAATGACTGCCACTAATCATATATACATAGTCAAATTCATTATCAAATTCATTATCAAATTCAATAAAAACGATATTATCAATTCATACTGTAGGCACTACTTCACCATTCAATGACTTTAACCATTCGCCAACGGCCATATCAGGCTGAATACACCGGTTCTCGTCCGATCACCGAAGTTAAGCAGCGTTGAGCGCGGTTAGTACTTGGATGGGTGACCGCTTGGGAACCCCGCGTGCTGTTGGTATCTTTTTTGCCTTTGTTTGAAATTATTTAAATATTTTTATATGAGCTTTTTTTTGAATCAATGGCTCTTATAGTATTTTAATAACCTGTTTCATGCCGTATAAAAAAATCAAGTAATTTCAAACATGTTGAATCATAGATGACGTACTCAGTTAGGATTCACGATAATCTTTCAGGAGAACCTCGTTTGTCAAGATGATTCCGATGATATAAATACGGCCTTGTAATGACTGTTAACAATCATATATACATTGTCAAATTAATTATTAAATTCAATAAAAATGATATCATCGTATCATACTTTAGGCACGACTTCACCGTTCAATGAATAACATCGTTCGCCAACGGCCATATCAGGCTGACTACACCGGTTCTCGTCCGATCACCGAAGTTAAGCAGCGTTGAGCGCGGTTAGTACTTGGATGGGTGACCGCTTGGGAACCCCGCGTGCCGTTGGTATCTTTTTTGCCACTTTTTGTAATTATTTAAATATTTTTATCTGAAATTTGTTTGAATCAGTGGCTCTTACAGTCTTTTAGTAACCTGTTTTATGCCGTATAAAAAAATCAAGGAATTTCAAACATGTTGAATCATAGATGATGTACTCAGTTAGGATTCGTGATAATCTTTCGGGAGAACCTCGTTTGTCAAGATGATTCCGATGATATAAATACGGCCTTGTAATGACTGTCAACAATCATATATACATTGTCAAATTAATTATTAATTTCAATAAAAATGATATCATCGTATCATACTTTAGGCGCGACTTCACCGTTCAATGAATAACATCGTTCGCCAACGGCCATATCAGGCTGACTACACCGGTTCTCGTCCGATCACCGAAGTTAAGCAGCGTTGAGCGCGGTTAGTACTTGGATGGGTGACCGCTTGGGAACCCCGCGTGCTGTTGGTATCTTTTAGCCATTTTCGCAATTAATACAATATTTTCAATCAAGTTGTTACGAGATTCAATGGTTCCTATAGTTCTTTAACCTATAGACGGCTAGAAAGCCACTATAGTGGCTTACCTCGTGACCAACACCTCACCTATGATCAATCGATGATATAAGATACATTTTATACCAGTTTTCTTAGGGCGATATGCCCTTTGAAATCCCGGCCGTCTAATGGTTAATGACCTTTTTTATGCTGTGTAAAAAAAGCAATCACTAGCAAACATGTTAAATCATTGATCACGTACTCAATTGGGATTCGTTATAGTTTTCGGTTGAACTTTTTTTTTCGCGATTTTTTCCAGGCCATCACTGTTTTAAAAAAGCAGGATTTCAATATTTATATCTTAGCTAATTTTTTTATTTTACAAGTGGTTTTTTCAGTATCTTCAAAAGCTTTCAATATATCATTGAATATTGTTGATTTGTAAAATATATTGTTTTTATAACTTTTTTAAAGAATTTGCCATCTTATATGTACTTATATTAAATATATAAAATTTATTTTATAAAATGATTACAAATTATTAAGTATTATAGCAAACAATAATGTGTAACATTTTTCAAAATCAATGTTTAACAATTTTTTTATCATTATTTACTCTATTTGCCTATTCAATGTATTGTTTATCCATTTCATAGAACTTTTTTTTGTATTCTTCAGGAATTTCTATTTCTTTCAAATTGTCTAATCCGATTTCTTCTTCAGTCCTGAAATAATCGATGTATAAGTTATAAGATCCTAATTGTTGTTAAAATAATTAAATATTTTTACTTTATCAGAATGTCCACAACATTTTCACATGCCAGCAACACAGTCTTCTCCTTTTCCCACTTGTGTAATTCCCTGAGAATAATATAAGTATTATTTTCTCTGAGGTACTCTCTTGTTTTCTTAGTAGCACATAACTGTCCTAATGCTTCTAAAAGCATTATTCTGTAGAGGAAGAAATTTAAATTATTTTCCATACTCTGGCTATTAATGTTATTAATCACAAACCTAATATCAGGATCCTTTTCTCTTGTTTTTGTTTCTGGCAAATACTGCAGATCTATAGGTAACTTATTATTTTCTTCTTCGGTAAATTCTTCTGGTCCAGCGAGAGGTAAAAGAAGATATGGTAGAATATCTACATCTTGGCTCATAAGCCAATCATGATTTTCAATATCAAAACAACAATTTCGCAATGTTCCTACAATTCCTCCTCTTCTTATATTACTATCTGGATATTGAACAAACGATAGTAACCGTTGAAACACAAATTGATTTTTATTTAACAAATAGCTACAAACATTACAAATTTATATTAATAATCATAGATATTTATAAAAATATTTTGTTAAATGGCAGTTCATATCTTACCTCCGCATCTTTTTTGATTGACTAAGATTACTAAAAAGAGGTCCTAAATAATGAAGTTTTGCTCCAGTAGTATTATAGTTATTAGTTGTGAATGTGTTTAGAATTAAACTCCATGAAAATTCACTTTTGTCTATTAGAGTGATAATTCTATCTACATTTTGATTTGGTCTTGTCATATTTGATAGAATTATACAACATGGATCAGCTAATTTACTGACTTTATCCAGAATATTTCTTAAATCAATTTGTGTTTCATTAGACATTTCTTATATTCCATTACATAATATTTAATTAGGGAATGTACATACTTCAAACATAAATATATTAGATTATCAGTTTTCTCATCCTCAGCAATACATTTCGATGATTCAGAAATAATAAGTAGAGCACTAGCCCCAGCTTCATCCCCAGAAATATTTATTAAAGATCGTGCCGCATCTTTTGCTATCACAATACTTTCATCTTGTAATAGTAATATGAGTTGGCGAAGAATTTGTGGAACTCCCAATAATAGCTCTCTTCCTTCCTTGCTTGCAGTAACACCTGACAGAAGTACAGTCGAAATTAATTTGATATTTTAGAAATGTTGATGTAAAATTGGAATTATTATTACCCAAAACGTGTTCTAGTGCAACTGCCTTCACATCTATTCTACATTTTGGATCTAAGTAACAGCTTATCTCTTTCAAAGCTTCCATTTCATATGTATTTTATAAAATAATTAAAATTATTATTATCATACGACAAACTTTAAATTACGAAGTTGTTGCCAAAAACCTAACACACGTGCGATATAGCTAGGCACTCTATCGATTAGAAAACGAAAGTTCTACCTTAGCGACTAATTCGACAAAGTTCCTTCGCTTTACCCTAGATGGCTCATGGTGACCATAACCTACATAAGTTGATGCGTTTATGTTGTGATTTGATACACGTGCGTTTATAAAATTAACGAAAATGATTCAAACTAAGGAACAGGTTACAAGAATTGAAGATTTATTACCAGATAAAATTGAATCACAACAGAGTGAAAGTAATGTTCAAGAAAAAGAAAAAAGTGGTGACAGCAAAACAAACAATAAAGAAATGTTACAAAAAGTGATACCTAGAGGTAGACCAAAGTCTGGTAGAATATGGAAAGAACCAAAACAAAAGTACATATTAAAGAAAAATTTTTTTAATATATACCTCTACCTTGATCACTGAATACTTATTATATCTCATATAAAACTTTATAGATTTTCATCAATTGTAAAAACCAAGGGTATTCGCTTGTCTTTTGAAAAGAAACAAAAATTAAGAGAAGAATTGAAAAAAGTTAAAGAATTATCTAGAGAAATAAAAGCACAAAAAGAAGCAGAAAAGCAAGCAAAAAAGGAAAGAAGAAGAGAAAACTTAAAACGAACAGAAGAAAAACAGAAAAAGAGTGAAGTCATACAAGTTGTAAGTACAACTTTTTGTTATCAAATAAATATTTTTCATTTCATTAGACAATACAGATTGTTAGTATATATTATATTTTTTTCAGATTAAAAATACAGCAAAAATAAAGAGAATGAAGAAAAAACAATTGCGAATGATTGAGAAGAGAGACACTGTAAAAAATGCATGAGTCACTGTAAAAAAGATGTGAAAGATATTTTAAGTTAAAATAAAAGTTACACTATAAAAATGGTTTTATAAATATTTTTCAAGAAAGTTTGAATAGTTATAAAAATACATATACATTCAAAGAAACTTTATGTAATAAATTAACTCATCATATTCTTAATACAATGGAAAACTTCTTTCAATATGAAATAGACATATCCAAAAGAAAACACAGAACATTAAAGTAAATAATATTGTAATCAATAAATAATCAATAGAAATGGATATACTTGTAGAAGTTCATGAGCTGTATATATAAAAAATATCATCTAAAATGTGATTGACAGGCACGAAAGACGTAGTTCACTTTGCAGCTCTCTCTTTATCATTAATTTGTTGTCTGCTAACAAACGCTTTCAGCTCCTCCTTCAAGTTGTAATTGCTTCCATTTTGCCTCTGAAATTGAAAATACAAAAGCAATTATGAAATTGTGTCGCCCGTAATTCAATGAACTACTCACCATTTCTCGTATCCACTTAGGCAGGTAGCTAGCAGAATATGACGTTAATAATCTGAAAAATACATAGCGTTAAACAATTCATGAGAAAAATAGCGATCTCAACGAATAAACACATGAACATCAGAAGCCGCATTGATATCAACGAATTTATAAGAAAGTTTCCGACGAAAATAACGAAATAAACATACCTTTCGTCAACAAGTAAAATCGCTCCCCAATCGTTTCTATGCCTGATGCATCGACCAAGTGCCTGATTAAGCGCCCTATAAGCCTGGACAGAATACCACTCACCACCAGGTAGTAAACCTTTATTGCGATTCTGATCATTATACTCGCGTTTCAATTTGACATTAGGATCACTTTGGACTGCATATGGAATGCCAATCTATAATCAATGAAAATTTCATAATTCATTACTCTGTAGTAAAAGCGAATTTCGAATTTATTTGAAAATAATACAAACAACCAACCGTGAGAACAGCTCGAGCCTCATTGTCGCTAAAATCGATACCTTCAGCAACTTTACCACGAAAAACAGCAAATAGTAATGCTCCAGTGATACCGCATGCAGCTGGCCTTTCACTGGTGTCTTTAATGACCTCGCGAAATTCAGACATAATTTCATCTAAATCATTGTTTCTTCGTGGCTCTGTAACGATGTGCTTGCAGCGTTCAATTTCATTCCAGGTACCCGTCTCTTTCCAGCGCTGCGTTTGATTATCCATCATCGTATACGATGAAAAGAAGCAAAGCACTCCATGTGGTACAGCTTGACATACTTCCAGCACCAATTGTCCTAAATCGTCCTGTTGAAGATTTTTATAAATGATGACATAATAAATTAAATCCATTTACTACATACCTTGAAGGGCAATGCCTGCACGTTGTTGTAAGTTGCCTTGAGTATAGTACCCTTGGGTCCACGAGGTATACCTCTGACATAGACTTGTTCCTTGGGCACCACGTGATTAGCTGAGAGCTTGTGAATGAATTTGGTGCCAAGTTCACTTTCGAAAGTAGATGTTGGCGAGAGAGTACCAGAAGCGAGGATGACGCAACGTGTATTTTTTGCCATTTGCCCAAAAATGATAGCTGAATTCATGCACATGAATTTGAGACTGCGAAGCCGCTGGCCACCTTGAGCTGGTATCCAACTATTGTTCTCCACCTGGTAGACATTTTGTTATTGTTAAATTTTATTTTTAGTTAAGTAATGACTACGGAAACGAGTAAAGTGAAGATTTCTTTCTAATATGTTTATAGAAGAGAATATTTTCAGAAAGCCAGGAAATGAAATGTTGATGTCTACTAATTTTCTGAAATTATACGTGGAAAATCGATATTTTTCTGCAACACGCGTATGTACAACCAGTAACGAAAAATGGAATCAGACCTTATGTTTAGCATCCCAATGGAAGTTTTGGGAAATTGTGCAGCGATAATCCTTGCAGAAAGTCGGATTCTGGATGAGATTTAAAGCCATAACCAGCTCTTCCAATAGTCTCTTGGTGACAAAAGTAATGGCGGGCTTCTTTTTCTGTTTCTTCATATCGTTAGCTGACGTATTTTCCTTATCTCGATCAACACCAGTTTGCTGATCTTCCTTCATCTGGTTATAAATGCTGATAGCGTTACTGCTGGCTAAACAGAATTCTTGAAACCGTTTTTCTGCTAAACCATTGATCTTGAACATCGACCAGGTTTGATCTCCTGTCCAACACTCACTGGTCACTTCGGCGTTCACATTTTCCTATATAAATGTTTCAAATAAACGTGAATAATTGCAAACGAAGTCCGACAACGGTCGACTACTCACGGGCGTTGGCAGTATTTGATCGCAAATTAATTTGGCCATGTCTTCGAGATATTGTTTAATACACTCATATGTAGCGCTGTCGTTCGTTTGATTGAAGTTGTATTTACAATCCTCTATAGCTTCGCCGATATTATCCTCGCGGAAATCAGCACTAGACACGTCTCTGCATATACTCTCGATGTTATGAGCTTCGTCGATAATAACAATGTCGTTTTTCAATGTCAACTGCATCTGCAGCGATAAAAAATCGTTGAAAATCATTGTGATGTCGAAAGGAATGGCTTGCTTGGTCACCACTCACGGTGTCCCTGATGATGGGATCAAGGAGGTAATTGTAAGGGCAGAAAATAATGTCCGAGTGGGGCATCAATCCTCTGGCACCAAAGTACGGGCAAGCATTCTTTTCCTTTCCAAATAAAACCAAGTCTTCGATATCCCAAGGTGTCTCGAGTCCTTGCGCGTACATGACCTCGTGCGACATCGTATATTTGGACTTGTCCGTGTTGTAGTTGCACCTTCCCGTGGTATTCTGCAGAAGAAAGACACGTTTGAGCATGCTCGCAGTCGCTCGCCAAGCCATTACTTTCGCCTGCTCACCTTTGTCACATCGTGCAAATCGTTGCACAGTTGCGTTTTGCTTTTACCCTGTGGACAGTTTTGTATGCAGGTATGCTCTCTGCTGCTTAATATCGTCATTCTGCAAATTACCCGTCAAGCTCAAATTTTCTTTGTTTAATTATTGCTAATTGAAAGGAAAAACATTGGTCATTCATACGGTTTGTCGCTATAGGCAGTTTTCTTGAATTCCCTGATAACTTGCTCGATTTGCTTGTGCGTCCGCGAGCCGTAATAAATCTTCGGAACTTGCATGCTGAAACAAATATATGAACAATTTAATTTCAGTAAACATTCATTTTTTCAATTGAATAAGTTTTATTTTGACCATCATTCGTACCTCCCCATTTCTTTGGTTATCGAGTCCACTTCAAAATTTTCAGAATTTGTAGTCACCTCTGCAATATCGAAGAAAAATCAATTTAGTATATTAATTTGCTGATGATACAGACTATCAACGATTAAATTAATCACAATGTTGTGCAAAATCGTCCATCTAAAAATAATCAGTGTATCCATTCTCCAACACACCCTCAACATATTGATTCGACTGTCCTCTTCCTGTTCCTAAATACTCTATATAATTCACATACCAGCAATTCATAAAAACACCGCAAACTTCTTCAGCCTCAGAAAAGTAACACAGTAGAAGAAGAGAACGGGCAGAAAGGTTTCAAGACACCCTGCAGACGTGCGCTACAAGCAAACAATGAAAACTTTCATGCTTGCATAGCTCTGACACGTCAAAAAACGGATCCATCATAAACCGACCTCGAAAAAGAAGCGGAAACACACTCGTGCGTGCATCCACTTACCAGTAGGCACACGTGGGCCATTGCCGCTCGCGCCACCGGCATCTACGCAAGAAAAAAAAAAGAAAAAAGAAAGAAGCGAGATGAAGAGGTGTATGGAGCACGGCGAATGCGAGATAGACAGATGTGGAGGAGACGTCAAAACATCGAATCGCGCGCCCATTGTGCGAGCACAAAGGAGAAAAAAAGTAAAAAAAAAAGATGATTGAGCAAGGCCGCCGCCGCTGCTTGAGGGTATATATATGGCTAATCGTTAGGATAGGGGGGGGGGGAGGTTTAGGACCTGATATATTGAAATTGTTGAGATTTTTAATTTTCTGTTCTTTCTCTCTCTCGAAAAAACATAATAAACTTCGTTGCTTATTTCAGCAAATTTTCTTGCTGGATATTTTTTAATTTTAAAATAAAGTAAGAGGCTTCACAACGCCGAAATCAGAGTCACAGTATTAAGGATCTTTAGATCGGATGACAGCGCGACAAAAGATTTGAGTTTCGTCGTCGTATGCGTTTAAGTCGCTTGAAGCCATTGTTGCGCGTCAACGGCGCACAACGTATACCTGCTCGAACGCCCGTGCCGAAAAAAAAGAGTTTGACGTAGCTCACGAAAATTGACAATGAATCGCATACGAATTGATCATTGAAACGTCTCTGTATTAGCTGGATTATCCGTTTTGTCGAGAACATATTTAGACGTTCCTTTATAAAGAATACTTTAAGGCCAATCTCTAACGTTCATATCCAGTTTCCCCTCGTTTTATAGAATGTAAAAGGCAAATGCCATTACGAAGCCCGTTGGTCAAACTCGTCTTTCTCAATTTTTTCACTCGGTAACTCCGTTACTGTTATATGCCGAAAATTGCACGCGAACCATGCGACAAAAATAAAAGGGAAAAATGTCTCCCGCTTACAAAAAACGGAAACGAACTCGATCGAAGTGTGTCCTTGCGTATCATGTACAGGATTATCCTTGTGCGAGCGCTTAGGGCCGCAAACCCAGTGGGTTTGATAAGCGATCTCTCCTCGGAGGTAGAAAAGGGATATTCCCCTTGCGACTATCGCGCGCTTTTCGTTTTCGTCGGCATATTCGAGTGGGAGAAATCGGTTGGGTCGGTTCAATTTTAGCGACCGGTAAAGAGATTATGGCCGACGAGGAATTGAAATGCGATTATGAAAAAATCGTTGGCAGCGAAGTCCCGCGAGTGCATGAAAAAAGAAAGGAAAAAGAAAAAAAAAAAGAGGAAAACGCTGGAGAGCGATAGGCTGAAAATTTGCCGATCGAAGTTGAGAGGGCAACGCTTGTGTGCGCGCGCGCGCGCTGTGCACACTTCAAACGCTTCTCACTTTCCAACTTGCTCGTCGCTGCCGCGCGCAAATGGCTGCCTACCTACGGGCTATACATACATACACAGTCTGCGCGCGAGCTGACCGATCGATGCAAAAACTTTCGGGTGCCGCTTTCATTGCAAATTTTCCTCGCTCGAGTGCGAGCTCGATAAATAAAAACAAAGGAACCGGCTCGACGCGCTCGGGGACGCAGGCACATCAAAGTCCGCAGGCAGTTTCGCGTACAGCAGCAGCTACGCGGGCATTAGCATATTGAAGAGGCACGCATAGGCGCAAGAGCAACGTTACCCACGGGGGACGACGACGACGGCGACGACGACGGCGATGACGGCGACGACGGCAGATACACAAAGAGCCTCGACAATGACAGAAAGAAAAAGGGGTCGCGCTGTAAATAGATAAATAAAGCACGAGGGAGAAGTGCAATAAGAGGCTTCTCCTCTATACCCCTGCGCGTTATACACTTCTTCTCTTGGCTCTTTTTTTTTATCCTTTTCCGGAGTAGCATCGATGCGCGACTTGATTGGCACGCACACACAGAGGAGGGTGTGTCTGTCCGTGCGCCGAGGGTGTCGTTGCCTGGCAACCACCGGAGAGCGAACGATCTAGCTCTCTCTCTCTCTCTCTCTCTCTCTCTCTCTCTCTCTCTCTCTCGCCCCGGAGTAGCAAAGCCTCACACCCGAGGGGAGAGTTTTCTCCCTCGAGCTCGCCAAGCGACCAGCATCACATACAGTCCATGCTGAAAGTTATCGCACCTCAGTCTATATATATTGCAGCGAATTTATCCACCTTTGCATCGCTGCATTTTGCGGTTTGTTTAATTTTATTCTTCATTATTCCAGACACGGGCGGAATTATAGTTTTCGTGGAAATTGATGTACGATAAATAAAGCTGCTAGATTTTCACTTCAACGATCGGCAAAATTATGAGTATCTAAATCATTCGTTTGCTGTACAGCTTATAATTATAGCAAAGAATTTTAAGATATTGATAGAATGATTTTTACGAACTTCCACGTTTACATGAAAAGTCATCATTATAAAATGATATCTTATAATTTTATCAAATCTATTTTGCAATTATCTTGTCTTAGGATTCGCAGTTGAGAAAATGATAAAATATAGCATGGCTCGATAAAGTTTCACCGAAATAAAATGTACTGGCAGTTATTTAAAAATATTTCACTGTATTAGAATAAATGGTAGCGTAACGTGCTTTCTTAATTGTTGTTATTAATTTTTTTGAGGATAGCTGTTCCACCTGTCTTGAAATACAAATACCAGTCATCGGATCGAAAAAATTAATTTTCGAAAATATTTTCAATCCAAACTGATAATCTACTGGAAATCGCACGCTTCGATTTACTCACTCGATTCCATATATGAACTGGCAATGATTTTCAGTACATTAAACATGATCAAGCGAAAAATAACCAATCAAAGAAATTAAATCAATTAATCCATACGCGTTTAAAAAAAAGCCGTGAAACCTCGCTTTTTTTTATAAAATGACACCCGCTTTGGAAAAAATAGAAAGGAACGAATAACAAACCAAACGAGACTACATTGCCAGAGGGAGGTGGAGGCCGAATTTCAAACATTCGCGCTCGCGAAATAAACTCGATACGTGCCATTTTTTGCACTCGCGCCGCTGTTTTATTATTTTTTATTTTTTTTTTTTGCTCTCTCTCTCTCTCTCTCTCCGGGCTTTTGTACTCGTTCGATTGAACTTTCACTGAATTTTTTTTATCCCTGCACTCACTCGTGCGTTTGACGGTTATTTTCCTGACGCTCGATCGGCCGATATATCCGGAGCATCAATCATCGCTTCGTATTGCGTTTACTCTCGCGGAATTGCCTATGCATGACACTCTTTTTTTTATTCTTTCTGTTATGGATGAGAATTCAAACTCTCTACCAGTGGTTTTTTTTATTTCAGCGTACGAAATTTTTCCGACTTTCAACGTGCGACTGTGATTAAAAAGTGTTGTATTTTTCTTACGTGGAATGAGGCTGCCATTTAACGTTTTAATCGAGATTAAAAAAAAAATGTAGTTTTATTTTTGAACGGTGCACTGTGCGCGCGCAATGAAAAACTTGAAACATTCTGTACGTAAAAATAAAATAGCAGGACTGTGCGCGGTAGATTTGCCCTCTATTTATTTATTGTTCGCCAGCGAAAAATGACGCGCTCAATTTTCTTTTGCTCTCAATCAATTAGCTGACTAATCGTGCTGGTTGTCCACAAAACCCGTAATAATTGACGACGCGCCTGCGACGCTCAATAAGCCCTATTATCGTCGACATCATGAAACGTCCTCGCGAAGCATCGATCGCGCCACCGTCCGGCAAATAGAGCTGCAAGAAAATCAAACATATCTGGCTCGCATTATCGATTGTCATCGTCATTAGCGAGAGCGTTGTTTACCCAATGTGCTTTGCCATTTTTTGCGCGCAGGTTAATTAGAGGCGAGCGAGCGCGCGTGCCAATGCTATCAGTGTAATTGCATCGGACGCGTATTTAACTTGGCGCGCGCATCGGCGATATGTATACGCGCGCAGCGGCGACCGACGCGATATCATCGATATCCATTTGCAGAATTGGCCGCACGCTGCATGTAGCCAATTGATTTTGCCAAAGATATGCGCTATTACGGAGGCTCGATGATTTCGAGCGAGATGAATGCGAACAATCCGCATGCTTGGACATGGCTCATTTCATTTCTAGAGTTTCCACAGGTGACTATTTGTCGCCGCACGTAAATAGTCGTACACCTTTCTGACTTGTCGCCAAGCTTCGATCACATCGTCTGCTTATGAATTATAGATTCTAAATACTTTGGGTGCAGGAGTCATTAGCAAGAAAATGTTATTCAAAGCGCGCACCTAATTTTCTTTCGCAAGGACATACGACGCGACAACATTCCTTCGCTAGTTCGTCAGGATAATAAATTACTTTGTACTAAAAACCGAAATTCTTCACGTTATTAGAACTTGCTTGTTGCTCAACCAGTGCAAATTCTTCGTTTTTATCATGTCATCCGCTAGAAAATAAAATGAATTCGGGAAAATATAGCTGGAAAATAAGTACGAAGAAAGCACACGAGGCCGACAAAAATTCATAATCAATCAACTATCTATCGAACTTTCAAGCGACAACGCCCTGTGACAAAACGATACACACATCCAAAATATTACGTTCGAACAAATAAGAAAGTGAAATAAAAAAAAAAGACAGCAGCTATTCAACTACACACGCGAGGCTAATTAACGCTCGAAAGCCTCGAAGCGACAAGTATAACATAAAAAAGGAACAACTCGTTTTCTCTGTTGCCTCGGCAAAATGTCACGCGCGCGAAACTATTCACCGGGGCGACATTTCATTATACTCGCGTGTGTACGTGTATGCGCAAACACGAACGGCAAAAGAGAGAACGAGAGAGAAGAGCCCGCGGCACAATTATGTGTACGCGAGAGCAAAAAAAAACCGCTCGCGCGCGTTTCGCAAACATTTGGTCGAATCGCTAATTGCGTCGAGTCACATCCCTCGACGCGCGCGCGCGCGCGCGAGCACACACGCGTAACATTCGGTCGAGCAGTCGGCTACGTGCGTGCGAATTCGCTGATTTTGAATACGCGATGCGCTGATCATACGCGATGCGCCGTTACCGCCGCCGCGAGAACGAATGTAATTATCTACGATGCGTTGCGCGCGAGTATATATATCGAAATTTGTGGGCCAATAGCGGAGACGAACTTGGCGTTCGAGTCTTGTTGTAAAGGACGATTCGGCATTCGAAACCGCCCTCAAACCCGAAATCCCCGACAAAGCCTTTTGGTCCCTCGAGTCCATTTTTCGATTGCCCAGCGAGGGTATCTGGAGGTACAACAAAGGCAAAAAAAATGTTGAAAAAAGAGGGGAGAGGGGCGAGAGGTATAGGGACAAATTGAAATCGAAATCACCAGCGAGGGCAAAGCTGCAGGGAGAGCAAGGAAATTGGTCGAGTGCACGGGGCTCGCAGACGCGCGAGAAATCAAGTGGCAATTAATTGAGATTCGCGTTGTTTATGTCAGGGACTGCGTTGACGCTGTTGCCGGTGAGCAGACGGCCCTCGCGAGCGCGAAAATATCGATTGCCCTCCTCGTGGCGATACCTTGGAGTGATCGTCGAATAAACGTCGCCGGTCTTGGCACGAATAGAGAAGGGAAGAAGCCGAGGTCGAGGACGGGAAATGCGCGCGTAAAAGCCAAGGCGTCCCGGCGCGTCGGTTGGTGCGCTAACCAAGTTTCGCGTCTCTATATATCTACGGTCGTTAATTAGCCGGCGAGGAAGCGAGAGAAGAGCCGCGCCAGAATTAAAATGGTGGAGAGAGTGTCTATCGACGCCGGCAGTCTCGAGCAGGCGAGCGAGTGCGCTGAAAAAAAAAGGGGGATGGTGGTAGGTGGTCGGCCATTTTGGATTTGCCGAGCGTCCCCTTCCGTGTGACACGTTTGGCTCCCTCGGGGGGTTGTTGCTTGTCGTCATGGCGACACTCCCCCTCCACTCTAGCCTATGTGTTCTAGGCAGGGGGGACATACTGAGCTTGTCGTCGTCGTCGTCGTCGTCGTCGTCGTCGTCGACGTCGTAGTCGTCGCGTTAATGAGCTGTGCGCGCAGCGAGCGCGAGTCGCGAGTCTCTTCAGCGGAGATGATGCTTCGCTTCTTTTTTATTTTTGTTTTTTGCAGCAGGATCTCGTGATGTCTTTCTTTTGCGCTCGCTCACTGCTGTGTGTGCGCTCTCATGTAAGGTACTTGCAAGCGAACGAGAGAGAGAGAGAGAGAGAGAGAGAGAGAGAGAGAGCTTTATCTTATAGAGTCGAGGACTGCTGCACCGGCTGTTTTTATACTCCTTTTTTTTAATTTGGTAGATAGAGATATTCACGAGTTTTGTTTTTCTTTTGTAGAGTGGATTACTGATTTACGCTACTTTCTTCTTTTGTGTTGGGCAGAATGCTTCGAGTACACTTGGCTAATTGAATGTTTAAATGGGAACGAACGTCCTCGTCGTTTTCTTTTTTCGGTTTTTCTGAATGCTAATTTCCTTTCGTTCGTTGCTAAGAGAAGCCAAACTTGACTTCGCTTCGGTAATATTCATAGGGAATGCGAATGTATGAATTTCACATAAAAATCAGACTTCCAGTCGGTACAGCAATTACTTTTTTACTTGAAGCTAATTTTTGTTTTAAAAAATGTCTGAATAGGTAACGTATCAGGAATAATTGAAATTTAATGTGAGCCTAGCTTAAAACACCGTTCGCTCGCTCACTATTTCGTCGTATTTATGTTGTAATGTCGCTCCGAAGCAGGTTACTTTGAAAAAGAAATGTTTGGTTGTGAAAAGGGAAAGAGGAAAAGATGATCGCGTTTCACGCGTGAACATCGTCCGGCGATCATCGAGAAGAGCGCGCGTTTGTCTACAACTGTTTGCCATCGTTTGCCGATACGTACGTGCAACATGTATGCTCAAACGCATCGCAATGGGCCGGACCCAAAGAGACACAAACAATGTCACTTTGGAAATTCTATATCGAGGACGTATAAACGCATGTTGTGCAGAGGCTGCGTATTGCGTATCCTCGGGCCAAAGCATCGTTGTCGATAGATTGCACATGGTGAGGGTTTCGATCATTGTGTATCACGTCAAATTTTGCACCTGATTTCCAATTCTAAACAGCGCTGTTACGTGTATCTTGTTTGCTTTGATGCGCCTCGATGTTGACGAACCGTTGCGATGGGTAAGTCATCGGATCTTTTACTTGTTTTCGCAACAAATGAAATTTCGTCAGCGTGGCCGTCGCACGCGCGACAGTTGTTCATCCCCAAGCAACAACGCCAAATTTAAAGGTCCTCGTGGCGAATTAAGAATGTCAGTTAGGCGAGCCCCGTAAAATTAACCGAGTAATATTCGAAAACGCGAAATTCCTCAGTGGCCTTTTGAACAGTCGAGCGCGCACGTCTGTTTGCGCGGAGCGCCGCGCCGTGAAAATTTGCACCTCTGCAGCTGGCTGGCGCGCTCGTGTGTGCACAGGCGATCGGCCGCTACGAGCGGGAAAATTAGCCTTTAGCGCGGAAAAGGGCGTCGTGTATTTTCGAAGCGGCGTGGCCGGCACGCGCCTAAAATCATTTATCAAGCGTGACGTAGAACAAAAGCTGCGGCCCCGTGAAAAGCTCGTTCATTAGTTGGGATGGCCTGTCGTTAATTAACTCACCCTGATTTTTGAAACGGTTGCTCGCCTCGTCCAAGCGGCTCTCTGAAACATACCAAATAATAATTTTTTAAAACTCTCTTTTTCCATAATGTTTTGCTAATGATTATGCATCGCCATTGTTGCGGTTTTCGATGATGCTTTTTCATTATACTTTACTTTTGTTCGCGAAATTCGCGCGGCTATCTTTTGTGTGATTTTAATTGGCCTTCGTGTATTATAATGAAATGAAAAGTCTTCTGCGGACGACGGCCAATGAGGAAACTTTGTGGTAACCATAATTTCGGATTATTTCATTTTCAATGACATTGTTTAATGGGAAATTCAGGCTTTTAATCGTGAAACTTGGCGCTTGTATTCGTTATTTTTCTGTATTTATCGAAAAAACATTTACTTTCTGTAAATGTTATGCAGAATTAAATTCAAAATAACACTTAGAATGCCACGTTGAAGATATCGGCCATTAATCGACAATGATAAAGTCATATTTTGAAGACTCGCGTGGTATCTTTCCAAATGGAGCTTTACGCTCTATAAAAAAACCCAGTAGACTTTTACAGCCTCAGACCCGAGTGCGTAATATCCGCGATAATTTGACAGCGATATATTCCATAATTGCCTTCGGATGCCAGTAAGGTGCGTACTTCGGCGAAGAAAAGGCAAGAAAAGGCCAAGGCGAGACAAAGAAAAAGCTCGTCAATTTATCGGCGTGCTCTCGTCAAACCAGATAAACCCGTTGGGAGTTCACCTTGGGAAGACAAGGGAGCACGTGCGCGTAGCGAAACCAAGGCTATATCCCGCGCATTTTATTAGTCGAACGTTACTTCCGGCTTAACGACCGATCTGCAAAGGGAGTCGCGTTCGCGCGTCAAGAGTCGACGTGCGGGGGCGGCGAGATAAAAATCTTGCGGCCGGAGCGCGTTTCGATCGTTCGGCGGGCCGCGCTTGCGAAGCCGCCGAGGAGACGAGGCACGAAAGCCCGGCCGCGATGGCGAGCGCCGCACGCGTCAGCGTCACGAGCGCATCCCGCCGAGAGAGTCGAGGCACATTGGAGAGCATCGCAGTTACGCATAACGCAAGCCCACTCCACGAGGCCCTCGTGCCTATTTGCCCGCGCGCCCGTAAGTGCGTGTGTTGTGCCTACGTAACCATCCGTCTGTTCGCGGTATTGGATCCCCCTGCGCATGCATAATTAAAGCCGGAGAGAGGCACACTTGCACTGTGTAATCCCTTGGTCCTCCCCCTTCGCTGCCGTCGCCGCCGCCGCCGCCGCCGCCGCGAAATCTCGGGAAGCAAGACAATATCATAGGCAGAGCGTTGACGTGCACACGTGCGCTAATGGACACGCGCGAGGCTTGCGGGGCGAGGATGCACACCCACAGAGACAGAGCCTGGCGATGCTCGTTGTGCGCAGGATGCGTATGTGCGCGCAGGCCTCCACGGATTTGGCCGTCCTGTTAATTCGCTCCGCTCCGCGCTCGGCGGGCATCGCGCGCCAACGTCAAGTTTATAAACGCAGCGCGAGGCGCAATCGAGCAAGTTAGCCGCGAGTTTTCACACTCCATCTGAGAAAATTTCAAAAGTTTTCCATCCCTCCTCGAAGCTCGCTCTCGAGAGTTTGAAAGAGATAAGACGATAAAGGTAGGCAGATAAGTCGAGTGTTTAAGGTGAAGCCGAGGCAGGGAAAAGAAAAAGAGGGCATACCGTGAGAGGTGGCAATAAAGTCACGCTTATCCGTTAGATCGATCTCGATGATTGCGCGAAAGGCGAAGGCGCGCTATTATTTTTTTTCGCCGCTCGAGAGCGGAAATTGAAAAGTAAAGCGCGCGCGAAGCATGTTGCGGCGATCGATCGTAGCCGGAGAAATTCATTAGGGAGGCAAATCACTTGCCGAGAACAAAGCAACGGCACACACGCGCGCACACATGTGCAGAGAGCGTAATTACGCAGCCAAAGCAAATCGCCTCTCTATCTCTCTCATTCGGTACCAGAGGGGTGGCTCGAAATTGTCACGGGGCTGGTTGCGGTGTATATCGGCGTCTCCACCCCCTGTCTCCTATCTCTCTCGCTCTCTTGTCATTGAGCCGTGGGGGACGCGCGTATGTCGCATGGCGGCTGCGCGTAATTGCTCTTCGCCATTTTTTAAGAAAGCGTCTCTCTCCCTCTCGGGGGATGAGAAGCTCCGAGCGAGTGGCAATAATTGATTGGCGCAAAAGGGGTGGCAATGATATTGCGCGATGGCGAGTTGCACGTTCACGACGAATGGACGCTGTTGTTTGATGAGAGTCGCTATTTACTCAGCTTGTTCGGGAGTCGTTTGCTCTTTACGGGGCGAAGGGCTGAGATGCGGCTTCGCGCGACTCAAATTATCAACGGTAAAAGCTTCGATGATGGAGGTTAATAATTGAATCTTAGAAATGCAGCGTTACTCTGTTTGTAATTTGTCAAGCCTTGCCCACGGCAATGGACATTAAGTACAGCTGTCCAAAGACGTTGAGAGCTGCTGTGACATCTGTTGACTTCTCGATCAACGAAGCAGTACACATTGATTTGCCAAACGATAACTCCTACGTGCGCTGCGTTTCACGGACGAGCCGTAAGAACACGTGCAACTTTGGGTACACGTCCTAACGTAAACGTCGAGTTCAAGTATAGTTTCAACGAGCCGCTTATCTCCGATTTAAAGATCACATCTCTCTGCCGGTAACCGATCTCCATCTGCCGTCTCAACTCTCTCTCTCTCTCTCTCTCTCTCTCTCTCTCTCTCTCTCTCTCTCTTTCTCTCGAAAAATCACAACGACTCTCGAAAGCAGTCAACGACTGTTAGAAAAGCAAGTCCACCCGCGCAATCGACAAAGAAAAACTTTGCAGAAAACAAAAGCGCGATTTTTGCGGCACGCGGCACGAGGGGGAGGGGTCCGTTCGAGATACGCATCTGACCAATCATAAAAAGCATCACAATGGCTTGTACGCGCAATTGTATTCCATCCGGGCGAATCTTACGGGCGGAAATTAGTCAGGTAGGTATTTGCGGGCTTATTAATTGACTGACGTTTCCGTCATATTATTGGCCGGATGAATATCGGCCCTCTCAAAGAGGAAACGACGATTAGCCTTCACGTTATGAATTGATTTTCAGACGGCTCTCTCTCTCTCTCTCTCCCCCTTTGTTCATTAACTATTCAATCGTGTGTACTTTTTGTTTCTCACGAAGGGCGCATAATCACTCCCGTAGACCAAAACTGAGAGCGCGAGCCAATAAGAAAATGGGCGCGCGCGTATAAAGCGAGATCGCGGCAAAGGGGTTTTTCATTTGCAGCCATCTCGCCCGACGAGCGAGCTTTTAATATCGGGGGACTGCAACTGCGTCGCGATTGTATTCCGGAGGGAGAGTCGAGGCAGCTTTACGTCTCAAGGATTCCATTTCTCGCTGCTGACGGACGCGACCCCTCTATCGCTCTCTTTTTCACGGTCTCTGTTTCAACCTTTCTCTCCTTTCCTTCTCGTTGAGCGCGCGCAACGGAGAGCCGCGCTATCGAGCTTTTTGTCAAGATTGCTGGATTACCGGGCTTGCAAATAATCGCGTGCCCGGCGTTCTAACTGTATTTCTCCAATCTCGTGCCATTTCTTTTCTCAGTTCGAACTTTATCGAAACGCTTGTGTCAATGGCTGCCTCTTATCTATGTCATTTATTAGACGATCGAGGAAAAGATGTTCCGTTAGAAATTGAAGTTCGTAGGCAAGTAAGAATGAAGCGATTCGTATGAATATTTCGTTTCGGTTTTCGATCGAGTATAAAGTTCCACACATCTCCTGTCGATCTGACTCACTCCAATAATTACTTAAAGAATATTTTTAGGCGTGGACATTTTTGTCGGAAGAACTAACACGTTTTATAGAATAATTTTTCACTATTTTTTCATCAACAAGGAAATTTGTTTCTTTATCAAAAAACAGTAGAATCTTTAAACTAGACCTCTTCGATCATATCTCCCTAAACATAAAAAACTAAAAATTCAAAGCAAATCAATAAGGGGAATAATAAAAAGAAATGAAAAAAACATTGCTACTAATCCAACACTATAAAACGTCGGGTTTCCTCAGAAATCCGAACGCTCTGCAATTCCATGCCAAACTTTTTGAATCTCGCCACATCACCGCACATCCGTAGAAACCGCACGTACACACTCGAAAAAGAGCCTTCACTCTCTCTCTCTCTCTCTCTCTCTCTCTCTCTCTCTCTCTCTCTTGCGGAGGGTTTCGCTGGCGCAGTTAACTGCACCTCGAGGGCTATTCGCTGGGGTTCGGCCAAAGTCGGATGCACCCTCTTTTCGTATGCCCGACGAATTCATCTCCTCGACGGCGAATAATAATTATCCTCCAAAGCCGCTGATTAGAGAGAGAGCGCGAGGCGAGGGGGTGGGCGGTACCCTTAAAAAAAAAAGCAGAAAAAGCACGAGGCACAAAGAGGTATAGGGAGGAGCTGAGTGGGCGCATGAAAAGCATCGAGGAGGAGGAGGAGGAAACGTCACAATTGAAAAGCGGACTACTGCTGAAGATTGAATATTTCCTTTTTTTTCTCCCTTTCGCCTTCCTACTCTTGGCTCGCTTTCTACTTACTTAAGAACTCGGGGGCCGTCTTTAAACTGTCTTAAGCGATGGTTTGTGTTGTTTTTATTCGAGCGCACTTTTTCTCGGCACCCCGTAGCTCCTCTCTCGCTTTCAATGGCTCTGCGATATGGAAATATTCGCGGGTATAAAAGAGATGGGCCACTTCCCTCGATCCTCGCCGCGAGGTTAACCTCCTGTACCTATAAAGAACTCCCTTTTCTCCATCACTGGAGCTTACTTCACTTTCCCTTTTTTACGACAAATGGGATAATCAGTAATGAATACAGCTATTGAAATACAAGATGTTTTTCGTGGCTCAGCGTTAATAAAACTCCGTTTAGCTCGTATATTTTTTATATTTACGTCGAACAAACAAAAACAAAGCCCCGAAAATCTGCCAAGGTCCGAAAAAATGAACGTCCAGC